AGGGGCGTGGCTAAGCATATTTCGGCCAATCTGTCAAACGAACGTCATCAGCGAAAGACAGATTGATTTTTCACCTAAAGACCAGCAATGTGCACTAGCGAAATACACATTATACATTTGATTTCATGCAGTCTTTAATGCACATTCTCTCTGAAGTAAAAATTTAAAGTAAAAAGTTGATGAAGAGAGATAAGGACAGAGTAGATCCCCCACTTTTAAAAAACAGCCAATAGTCGGTGCAATAGCCTAGTGGTTAGTGCGCCGACATATGGTGCAATAGCACGTCAGGGCGTCGCGAGTTCAAATCCCGGCTCGTGATATTACCCTACCCCCTCTCTCTGTTTTGTTTTGAGGCATGTCAGATACTAGAGAGCATTTGATAGCCTTTGAGAGCATTTTATTATTATTAATTCAATGCCACAAAAACAAGAGGCAGTCCATTTCATGTAGTTTTCTAAAAAAGGAAAAAAATATATACTTTACATGAAGTTAAATGTTTTCAGAGCACTACATGTTTTCAGTGTTTTTTTTGTTTCGTGATTGTTCTAAAAGATTTACATATAATTTGAATTCATTCACAAAATGGGAAACGTTTGGTTTACACTGAGCCTACTGTTTCTTATGTGATATTTCTATGGTATTTCCCTAATAACAAATTTTTATAAATTAAATTAAAATGTGTTGTCTTTTACAGTTTATATTCTCATTATCTGAGTAAAACAGTACACCAAATAAACAAATTTCTATCTTAAACTCCATTTTATTTGATTTTTTAAATAAACAATTAAAAATCTTTTCAAAATATTTTTGAGTAAATGCAATGAAAAAATGATGCAAGTTTGTTTCTTTTTCTTGACTGGTCAGAAGATTTGATGAGATACTGAAGTATGAAGTGACGTGAAAAGAACCATTGACATATTTGGTGGAAAGCTGCAATCTTTTGGGTGTTTATATCATGTTTAACTGAGGTAAAGTTTGTTTTATATTCGCACATTCAGAATTTCTCCTTAATAAAATCATTTCGAAAAGGTATTCTTTGGCAATTCTAAATAAGGAAATCATATTAGCACCCAATGACTATCAAAGAACAACACTGTTAACAGGCAATTATAGTGCTAATGTTATTTTCAAGTCATACTTGCATGCTAATTCAGACCGACCAATTAAAGTACATTGTTAAACAATATAGGGACCGTTAAATTAACAAATGTGCAAATATAAAACCAAATTTACCTTAATTCGTGGTTATATCTTCTATATTTTTGCACACTATAGATATCACTAAAACTTACATACTGATACGAATATTTACAAAGTTAATATATATAATTTCACCAGAACCTTGAAAATATCCCACAGAGACTTGAACGGAAACTTAAGGTTGTTTTCTAGCCTTACCTTAAGCGTCTCGTAAGCAGTGGCGACGAGCAGAAACTTTTGCTGGGCTGATTCCCGGGTGTCGTCGGTCTCCCCGGGCTGGAATCTGTCCGGGTGATACCTCCGCGCCAGCTGCCGGTAGGCGCGTCCGAGCTCCGCTTTACTGACGTCGCGCGAAACTCCCAGCACGTCATAACAGCTTTGAGTCCCGCAGTATAGTCCTTCAATGAGCGCGGAGACCGAGTGGAAACACAAAATAAACACAAGACAGATCCATAAAGTGAGTCTCAGCTCGATGGACGCGGCCATGTCAGCATTCTGAAGCTGCGGTCGCGCACTGATGACGTGTCGTACACGTGTTGAACAAGGCTCGACGTCAACTGACGCCTCATGAACAATTTGTGCAGAAATTTGTATTTTCATTTTCTAATAGAGAGTAAGCTGACTTTATTTCACTTCAGTTTTTTATTATGTTACGGTATTTATCAGCTCTGACCTCGAAGGCCCTTTATGCTTCTGACCCAAATCCAAAATCTTTTAATTTACGAATCTTGTGTTGCTTTTCTAATTAGACCAGTTACCATTACATAACCAAAACATTTTGTTGGAATAGACAAACTATATCACACACCCTAATGCTTTCCAAACTTTAGGCTAACTTAATGTTTGGGTGACTAGAAAGATTATAATTAATTAGCGTAATTATATAGGCTAGACTATAGTATAAGTATTATCATTATTATTTGCAAAATATTACAATAATATATTTAAAATTGTCAAAATAATTTGTTGTCTAGTAAATACGTTAGATTAAGGATTAAGGGTGTTGGTATTGATAGGCTAACGTTGGCTAACACACTGTAGTTCATTTCAGAATGGTTGCATCATTTGAAATATTTTATTTATTGATTTTATGCTTGAAAATATTTAGGTTTTTTGTTGGAGAAAATCAAGGCAGTCTTTAGTTTGAGTCTATGACACGCTAAACAAATTTACAGTAACCAAATATGTATTGCTATATACCCACAATGGCTCATTCTGAAAACGTAGCCCTATATACATTTCTGGAGATCGCGAATTAAGTATCCAGACACGTATGGTTGCATTTCGTTATTCGCAGTTCCTTTTCTCGCTAACCAGCTGACCCCTTACCTGCATATAGACTGCTTTCCCGCTAGTTTGTCCGATAGCTCGACATGTACGTTGGTGGACTAGAGATGCAGAGCAGAGTTGACCACGACGACGGGTTTACGAGTCTAACGAAGAACGGTTCCAGCAAACAGGTAAAACAAAAACAGAAGCCAAAAAATAAAATAAGTAAATAACAGGGTGAGAATGTGGTAAAATCTTTAAATGTGGTAAAAAGTGAGGCTTTTCTTTTTTTGGATTCCTTTTCAAAACACTGCGGTTGGGTTTAGGGAAGGGATCTGCGGGTCAATTGGTGCTTTTCAAAATACTATTGGTTGGGTTTAGAGAAGGGGAAGGGTGGGTGGATTGGTCGGTTGGTCAGTCAGTGAGTCAGTCGACAGTGGCCTCTGGCGGATTCACGAAAACAATAACTGCAAAAAAAAAACACAGCTCCTGGGACGTATTTTGCACTCTCCAGAAATGTATATAGGGGTATGTAATCAAAGTGAGCCAGGGTTGCTATATACGGAAGCTCCACAGGTTCAATATGCATGGCCGGGCTGCTATTTATCTTATTATTCAGTGCTAAAGTGCACCTGTTTTTTTGGTTGTTTTCAGACTTCCAATTCAATTGCCTACGGGAGACATGACTAATAATAATAAGCGGCAAAAAATGGTCAAACTGTTTACTATACAAAAGAGTATGTACATGAATATAAAAGTATCATAATATAATAAGAAAAGATCAGTTTGCAACGTGAAGCACCATAGTGAGTGATTTTTAACGTACAAAAATCAATGGAAGTGTATGAGACTGGACGTCTTGAGCTAAAAGGATTACAATGGCTTTGCCTTCTCATATGTGAAGAATAAGATCAATAGCCAAACTTTTGGCCAGTAGTGTCAATGTCAAACATTTATTTTCAAAGGTGCCAGCTGTGGAAATATTTGGCTGTGGACAATGTAAAACATTGATGAGTCCACCTTCACTATCTTTTCCACATCCAGGAGAGTTACAGTGTGGAGAGGCCCCAAAGAAGCGTACAACCCAAACTTTGGCCCAATGGTTTAAACATAGTATCCTGAAGTTTGCATCGTGTACAGGGCCGGCGCGTCCATAGAGGCGACCTAGGCGGCCGCCTAGGGCGGCAGTATAGAGAGGGCGGCATCCGCGACACCTCCCTTACCACCCGTGTCCTCAGTTATGTCCATGGCACCTCCCTCACCACCCACGTCCTCAGATATATTCATGCATAGACGACAGAATAGTGAGGGCGGCGTCAGCGACACCTCCATCAGCACCCGCGTGTCCTCAGTTATATCCGCGCATAGGGTGGCAGAATAGAGGTCCGCGACACCCGCGCGTCCTCGGTTATATCAGCGCATAGGGCGGCAGAATAGAGAGTGTGGTGTCCGCGACACCTCCCTCCCTCAGCACCCGCGCATTCTCAGTTATATCCGCGCATAGGGCAGCAGAATAGAGGTCCGCAACACCTCACTTCATTTTCATAACCGGTCACTTTCGTTTTCACATTGGGGTTGAGGGCGGCATGATCGTCCTCTGCCTAGAGCGGCAGTTCAGCTTGCTTCGGCCCTGATTGTGTATCAGAATGATAATGCACCAATAAACACAGCAAGACTGGTTACAGAGTGGTTGGATGAACATAAAAGCGAAGTTGAACATCTCCCATGGCCTGCACAGTGCCCAGATCTAAATATTATTGAGCCACTTTAGGGTGTTTAGGAGGAGTGAGTCAGGAAATGTTTTCCTCCACCAGCAATTAATATTAATAAACTTATAATGATAATAAAATTATAATACAGGGCGTCCCAGTGGCGCAGTGGGTAGCACGATCGCCTCACAGCAAGAAGGTCGCTGGTTTGAGTCCCGGCTTTCTGTGTGGAGTTTGCATGTTCTCTCCAGGTGCTCTGGTTTCCCTGACAGTCCAAACACATGTGGTACAGCTGAATTGAATAAACTAAATTGGCCATAGTGTATGAGTGTGTATGGGTGTTTCCCAGTACAGGGTTGCAGCTGGTTGGGCATCTTCTGCATAAAACATTCTGGAATAGCTGGCGATTCATTCCCCTGATAAATGAGGCCTAAGCTGAAGGAACATTAATGAATGAATAAACAAATAGCAGCTGCAATGCACCAACACAGATTTGCCAAACTATTTGAAAGCATCTTTTTCTTTTCTTTAATGAAGTTGAAGTCTTTCTTAACCCCTTAACTGAGCCCATCATGATTACAACTATGATCATTACATGCATCTATCACCTATAATCTTAATAAAGTGTGAGTTCTAATTATGGGGTGACGGTTAAGGGGTTAAAATAAAAACCTTTCCCAACTCCATGATCCACATATCAAATATACGCCCTCAGACTTCCTGTATTGTAAAATAAGCGGTTTTGCAAGTGCTAAGAACAGTCCTTCCCCTTTATTTGATTGCGTAACTCAGTCAGAAGCTCCACCTCCAGGTGTTTGTTCATCCAGTTTCCAGAATCATTCACCGCTAACACAATGAGTCCCAGAGGAAGCACCGGTGTTTTTCTCCTGCTAGCGCTTCTGCTGAACCAAAACCTGCTTTGTGTTTCAGGAGGGAAGATCCTCGTCTGGCCGGCTGAATTCAGCCACTGGCTCAATATTAAAGTCATCCTAGATGTGCTGATTGAAAGAGGACACAATATCACAGTGGTGACCCACACGGCCACACCGTCAGTCCAGACCACCCCATCAGCTGGATACAATGCGGAGATTTTACAGGTGCCATATACAAAGCAGGAAATCGTGGACAATTTGGAGAGGATGCTGAAATACTGGACTCATGACCTACCCAATGATAACATAATCACAGCTTCGCTGAAGATCCATGAGATGATTACTACAGCCACAGCGCAGAATAAAATCACATGCAATGCACTCTTTTCCAGAGCAGAGCTGCTTGAGAAGTGGAAGATGGAGAAGTTTGATGTGATACTAGCTGATCCGCTTTATATATGCGGAGAGATTCTGGCCCAGAAACTGGACATACCGTTAATATTCAGCCTCAGGTTTACTTTTGGCAACACTCTGGAGAGATTGTGTGGTCAGATGCCGGCTCCGCCATCATACGTGCCCGCTGTGGCCTCTGAGAAAACAGACCAAATGGATTTCATAGACAGACTGAAAAACTACCTCTTCTATGGCATGCAGGACTTCTTGTTTTATCTAGTCACCAAATTCAAGTGGGATCACTATTATTCTGAGGTCCTGGGTGAGTACTCTGTAAAAATTATACGATCAATTAGCCATGACAACGTTTGTTTTTAGTTCATTGTAACTTATTAAGTGAAGTTTATTTATATTGCGGCTGGTCCCGCATTATTCAGTTTATGATTGACCAATCAGACGATTCCTAAGCCACTATAAATACCTTAAGTTCAATATCACAGCCATCTTTGTTTTGAAGAATCCCCCCTTTCACCCCTACTCCTCCTCCTTTCCTAGATGGGTGGCACGGCGGCCCAGTGGTTAGCACTGTTGCCTCACTGCAAGAACATCACTGGTTCTAGTCCAAGCCAGTCAACGTTTCTGTGCAGTGTTTACACGTTCTTCCTGTGCTCACGTGGGTTTCCCCCAGGTTCTCAGCTTCCTCCCATCAACCAAAAACATGCAACTTAAGTTAATTGACTAATCAAAATCTGCACCATAGACATGCTCCTAGTCAGTAGTTATCTCTTAAGAGTGATCACTATCTGTTCAGCTACTACAGCAGGGGAGTTCTCCAGGTTTACCTAAGCTCAAACTCCCCTCTCGCCTTGCAAGCGGTAGGGAGCCCCGGGCTCGAGGATCTTATGATATAGCCACAGCTGATAATAATATTATGTGTATACTTTTAAGCGTATAAACTTTAAATGATTGTGGGTTGTTTTTAACCCAAGGTTTAAGCAATGCTTGGTTTTAAAAGTCATTTAAATGTTTTTTTCTTAAATAATTCAACATTTGACCTAACATTGGGTGAAAACAACCCAGAACTTTTAAAGTGAAAAACTGACTATAAATATGGTGTATATGTATAATAAATGACTACACGAGAAGTCTAATGTGTCTATTTGATGGCCAATGTTTGGACTATAGATTTTCAATATAGTTTTGTTGATGACCCAAATATAGCCTTGTTTTAATCTATTAAACTCTAACATGGCAGGTTGTTTTAACAAATGTGTTGGATAAAATATGAACAAACCCAAGTGTTAGATTAGCCGGCAGCTAGCTCTCTGCAACTTTCACATGGTCGCCAACTGAAGCTAAGCTGGGCTGTGCCCGGTCAGTACCTGGATGGGAGACCACATGGGAAAGCTAGGTTGCTGCTGGAAGTGAAGTTAGTGAGGCCAGCAGGGGGCGCCCAACCTGCGGTCTGTATGCGTATAGTGACGGGGACTCTATACTGTTCAGTGAGCGCCGTCTTTCAGATGAGACGTTAAACCGAGGTCCTGACTCTTTGTGGTCGTTAAAAATCTCAGGATGTCCTTCGAAAAAGAGTAGGGGTTTAACCCTGGCATCCTGGCCAAATTTGCCCACTGGCGCCTGCCCATCATGGCCACCTAACCCTCCCCATATCATAACTGGCTTCATCACTCTGTCTCCTCCCCACCAATCAGCTGGTCTTATTATTTTTAAAAAGTGCAATGTAAATTTTGTTGAAAAAAATGAACCCAACATGGGTTTGTTCTTATATGACCCAATGTTGGTTTTACATCAGTATAAGAGTACAGAGAAATACGCTTGCTGGAGCTTCTTTATATACACCTGGAGAACTTTCACTAGTGTTTTAGCAGCTTTACAAACAAAGAACCAATAAACAATAAGTTATAAGGTTCTACTGAGTTCAAAAGCACTTTGAATTGTCACCTGAGATATTTCTATGGCCTTAACATTTACAATAAACAACAAAGGAAGCATAAAACCGCTGATAATGTGCACTTTGACATGCAGTATTTCACAATCAAGAGCACTGGATCAGTCGGTTCATGCTGCAACTGAAATTTGACCATGACTTCAGCATTTAGAAAATTATATTTACGTCATTTTTTGGTCTTTCTTTTCTACGTTTTGAATAGCAGCAGCACTTAGATTTTAAGAGTAACAGATGTACACAAATATTGAACAAGAGAAAAAACTACTGAAACCTTTATAATTATTAACATAAAAATAATTAGTTTCAGAAACAAGATCATTTTATGGTAGTTAATAAAATTTTTGTGATCTGCAAATTTTTATACATTTTGGATTTTTAGCACGATTGATAATATTATCGAAGCACTGTATAAAAATTATATGATCAATTAGTCATGACAGCATATGTTTTTAGTCCATTGTAACTTCTTAAACTAAGTAAATCATGTTCTAACTTAATTGTAAAAGTTACACAAGCTGTTTTAAGTCAGTTTTACATAATACAAGTTCTACAGACTCATAAGGTTAATTTGATTCAGCTTAAAAATTTAAGGCAACTGGGATTTTTTCCTATTCTTTTATAATATTCTATAATAAAAGAAATAAGAAAATGTTTAGTAAATTAATAAAACAAATAATATGAAATAATAACATGTTATTAAAACTGTAATAAATAAATAAATGTTGGTTTGTTCTGCTTACAAACCAACAAAAAGTCATAAATTACAATTATAACAGATTATAAGATTAACTTTAACCTCCATGAAAATTATAACAACATTCTTTTCGTTATGAATTTGCATTTTTAAGGTTTTCTATGACATTTTAGTATCCAATTCTTTATATAGTTCTATATTTTGCTCATGTAAATCTATTTCTTCATTGTTATTCATGAATGAAAATATACAGACACAATCAGGACATCAATAACAAACAAGGAAAACACAGGCTACATTTACTGCATTATTACAAAGAGAAAAACAATACCAAAACAAACAAAAGAAGGGGTGAATAAATGACTATAGTACAGAAGTGTATAAAAATAATTAAAGAGCATTAGGTAAATCTTTTTTTATTAATATTGAATAACGTCAAGAAATACAATGCAAGTCAAACTAAATTTCAAAGGCTATATGAGAGACATAAACTAATCACAGGAATGCATTAATGATATACAGGCTTGTACAATTTGCATAGCTTTTTGATTCTTGAGGGTAATATGGACTGAATATAATGCTTCACCTCTTCTTCAAATGCAATTGGATTTTTACCTGAAAATTTACATTTGTGAATATGAAATTTGGCCATTAAAATACAAAATAAATAAATATATTGGTCTTTTTATCTCTAGAGTTTTCAAAAATTCCTAAAAGGACATCTGTCCCATGAAAAGTAATATTTCCGTCAATATTGACAGCAGTAAAGTCAATTACATTTCGCCAAATTACAGATAAATCTAGCGCATGTGTTTTGACGTGCTGTGACGTAGCCTCTACGTCCAAACTCCGCCTTTACAGCGAAACTTCCCACCTGTACACGCCCACAGCTATCAACATCCCGTGAGAACAGCCACTCTCTTGCACTAAGTTGTTTTCGAGTTCTTCTGCCATGATGAAGTGTTTATTAAAGCCGTCTCCGCTTGTCCTAATCTTCATATTCAGCTTTACGCACGCCGGTAACGTGCTCGTTTTACCGGGCGAGTACAGCCACTGGCAGAACATGAGGAACGTAGTGGACGAGCTGCTGAATAGAAACCACACAGTAACAGTTCTGGTGTGCTCGGCCTCTCCAACAATCAACTTCACCCAGCAGGAGAGGTTTCAGTATCTGGTGTTTGAGGTGCCTTTGAGTGCGCAGGAGTTGGACGGAGCGAGCGAAGAGCTGATCCACATCTGGACGCAGCATCCCAGTCCAAACCGACTCCAGACCGCTCTCCAAATCATAGAGCTGCTCGGGAGAGTGCGCGTGATGCACCGGGCAATGTGCGACTCCATGCTGCGTAATGACGCGTTAATCGGGCAGCTGTCCGCTTTAAAATTTGACGTGCTCTTCAACGATCCTATGTTCATGTGTGCCGATCTGCTGGCTGAGATGTTGGATCTTCCTTTGGTGCTTTCTGTGCGAATTTCACCGGGGTTTTGTTTGGAGAGGATGTGCGGACAGATGCCCGCTCCGCCGTCTTTTGTACCGATCACTCAGACGGTTTTGACGGATCGCATGTGCTTCATGGAGAGAGTGCAGAACATGATCGCCAATATTGTTTTTTCCGTCTCGTTTTACATAGTGGCTTGGATAAGTTTGGATAGTTACTACACTGATGTATTAGGTAAGGGTTCTCTAATATTTTAATGCACACATAAAAATACATTAATTTAGATGCATCTAAAATCTCAAGTGTTGTTTCAGCCAATTTTAAATAAGTAGCTTTAAATGAGCTGAAACAACACAATTCTGGAGATGTTTTAGGGACAACTTGATTGTTTTATGTTCAGTTATGTTAAGTCATTGAAAAAAATGTTGCATGCAGAACTGTTGCAAACAATTTATTTGTGTTGAATTTAAACAAATTAAGTTTAATAATGTTCAACTTAATTTGTTTGTTTAAATTCAACAAAAATAAATTGTTTACAACCACTTCATGTAAAAATTTTTTAGTAAACTCAAGGAATCATCTTTGAATATTTTTTTTCAGTGTAACTTAATATTTTTGAGTTGGGGCCAGGCCCAGATTAAGAACTCAGGGGGTGGGGGGGGGGGGGGGGCGGGGGGATGGATAATAATAAATAAGTAAGAATAAATAAGAATAATATAATAATTTTTTAATAAAATGAATCTATAATTTGTTGCCCACATATTTAAATAAATGATATATAGTACAAATATATTTATAGTCTACAAAGATTTTACTTATTTTTTCAAAGCATTAAAAAAAAATACTAATAAAACTAGTGAAAATTAAAGTGCTGCCCCTGAAGTAATTCCACACGGAAAAAATACTAAATTAATGTATAGTAGATAGGCTACTAGTAAAGTCTGTTATTTATTATAGCTTAGTAGGTTACTTACAATACTTACACTCACCGGCCACTTTATTAGGTACACCAGTCCAACTGCTCGTTAATGCAAATTTCTAATCAGCCAATCACATGGCAGCAACTCAATGCATGTAGGCATGGTCAAGACGATCTGCTGCAGTTCAAACTGAGCATCAGAATGGGAAAGAAAGGGGACTGTTGCTGCCAGACGGGCTGGTCTGAGTGTTTCAGAAACTGCTGATCTACTGGGATTTTCACGCACAACCACCTCTAGGGTTTACAGACAATGGTCTGAAAAAGAGAGAATGTCCAGTGAGCGGCAGTTCTGTGGGCGCAAATGCCTTGTTGATGTCAGAGGAGAATGGCCAGACTGGTTCCAGCTGATAGAAAGGCAACAGTAACTCAAATAAGCATCCAGCCTTGTATCAGCGGTTCAGGCTGGTGGTGGTGGTGTAATGGTGTGGGGAATATTTTCTTGGCACACTTTGGGCTGATTAGTTTCAATGGAGCATCGTGTCGAGGCCACAGCCTACCTGAGTATTGTTGCAGACCATGTCCATCACTTTATGACCACAGTGTACACATCCTCTTATCAGCAGGATAACACACCATGTCATAAAGCGTGAATCATCTCAGACTGGTTTCTTGAACATGACAATGAGTTCACTGTACTCAAATGGCCTCCACAGTCACCAGAGCTCAATCCAATTGAGCACTTTTGGGATGTGGTGGTCACTTATTGTTATGGGGGGTTAATTTTGGCTGTAACAAAATTAAATACAGTAATATTATTGAATAATATAAAAATGTGGATCTGATGTATGTACAATGCAGTCTGTACAGTAATATTTCCTGTCTTTTAGTAGAGATATTATGAGAGACTTGCTTTGTTTACCAAATAAAGTGGATCTAATTGGATTTGCACTGTAAACATTAAATAAAAGTTTAAAAGATATAATTTTTTATTTCACATATTGAGGTTTTAGTTATGAGTAGGCCCACACGGAATCTGCACGTGCAGAATTCTGCAGATTTTGTACAGATTTTCCGCAGATTTCTGCAGATTTTTAGCCTATCATTAATTCAGTTTATTTACTTAAGTAAATGTGTAATTCTGAATGTGTTCAGTTTTTATTCAGTAATGAATTATTTTTTATTTAATATATTAAGGTCTAAGTTATGATACTCCGCTGGATACTCCCAAAATAATTCAGCAGAAATCCACAGATTTTTACCAAAATTCTCAGCAGAAAAAGCAAAAAACTTCCGCAGACTCCGTCTGGCCCTGGTTATGAGACTCCCAAAATAATTCCGCAGAAATCTGCAGATTTAACCACAATTCTCTGCAGAAATAGCAAAAAACGTGTGCAGAATCCATCTGACCCTACATATAGGGATATAAGTCCAGCAGAGAATGCACTGCCGGTTTATTACAAGGTGATTGTAGCATAATATACAACACCAACCCAGACGATATAGCACTGCAAACTATTCAAAATATTCATGAAAGTCACTTTTTAAGACGAAAAGTTGTTGGTATAAAGATCAAGCTCCCATAATGCAACTCAGAAGCAAAAATAAACAGGGAAAAATAAAAACATGAATCACAAAATACGGAAAGCTGCTAATTTACGGATATTTTTTTACAGTGTATGTACACAGACCTATAGCACACAGTTTAAAAAGGTATATTGACTTTATCTTTAGGCTTTTTTATGACTGAGATCAAAGAGCAGCAACTCTCCATAATATAACACAACCTTTGGCCAAACAGTGCGCATAGTAAACATCCAGTATTCAGACCCTCAGTGTTCAGATCACTCTGCGCTCATCCAGCATGACTTCAGGGGCTTTATTAGTGTGTCTGCTGCTGTGTGGAGTAGATGTCGGCTGGTCTGGCAGGGTTTTGGTGATGCCAGGCGAGTACAGTCACTGGCACAACATGCGGGCGATCATTGAAGCTCTGGTCGATCGCAACCACAGTGTGACGGTTCTAGTCGGCTCTTCATCTCCTACAGTACCGCACACACAGAAGGCGCGCTTTGATTACCACGTCTTCAAAGTCAACATGGACAAAGAAGAGGCTGATGCTGTGTGGAGTGACTTTATTTACCTGTGGATGAATGAAACCGCCACCAAATACGAGACTGTGTCTCATATCTTTCAAGTGATGTCCAGATTCATGACGCTCACTGATGAAGTGTGTAAAGGAATGTTCAATGAGGATCTCCTACAAATGCTTCGGGAATCTCATTACAACGTGCTCTTCTCTGATCCCATGATGCCGTGTTCTGACCTGATGGCGCAGACGCTGAACATCCCGCTTGTTTTGTCTCTGCGTGCAACGTTTGCTTATAGTTTCGAGCGGATGTGTGGTCAGATGCCCGCTCCTCCGTCTTATGTTCCCGCAGCGTCTCTGAGAGATTACCTCACTGACCGCATGAGCTTCATGGAGAGAGTTGAAAACATGCTGCTGTACTTCTCACATGATGTATTTTTCAAACTATACATGATGTTTACCTTTGATCGGATCTACACTGAAATAAGGGGTAATTACATTTCTTTGTTTTTGATTCAATGTTATATATAATTGTGTATAACAGTAGGGGCCCCCTATCATACACCCGGGCGCAGTAAGGCGCAAGATGTGTATGGTGTAATTTGCTGCTATTTTCAGACCAGTGCAAGCCTAATTTTCCGCATTGTTTAAAAAGAAAATCCATTTGCGCCATTTTGTGGACTCATGGGTGTGCCGGTCTATAAAGGAGGTGTGTTATGGGCATTGTTGGCGCGTTGCCATTTAGAGGAACTGAAATAGACCGCGCCATTGACCAACTAAAAGCTGCTCTAAAGTCCAGTGCAGAGCGCGTTATTTATGCACCTATGCTGGGGTCCGTTGTTCGTACGTGGATTACTCAGCTGGATTTGGATATTGACGATTTGACACGATCCAGGATCGTTTCGTTCTTCAAAGCTGATCCGAGAGTTGTTGTCATGGCAACGGTTCTGCTAGGTCAAACCTGATCGGGAGCAGGTTCAATTCACATAAACAGGATTAGATCGGCTCAGTTCAACCAAAGATAATACAGAAAGTATGTTCTGAATTCTGATATTTTCTTACAGTAGTAGTTATATACACTTGGGAAAATGGTACATTTTTTAACTATATATATATATATATATATATATATATATATATATATATATATATATATATATATATATATATAAGTTATAGTCATTAATAAAATAAATAAAGTTATAGCTACATATTAATAAAACTTATGCAATCTGCACCCTCGAAATGAAAGTACAAAGACTGCCATCTGGTGGTGCAAAGAGAAAACTTATTGATATGAACTTTTTAGATCGCTTTAGTACAAATTGTGTATAATAGAAATGCACAATATGTGACTTTTTTTAAAGCAATAATACATTTATGCAGTCATTAACATGTTTTGATAGTTAATATGACGGTGACTTGATGCTTCACAAAAGTTTTGTAAACAACCAGTTATTCTTTACACCGATTAAAAAACTGCTACTATTATAAAGAAAATCTTTTCTAAATGTAGAACTAAATACATTGATATGCATTGAAATACATGATGAATACTCTTGACACATGAAAGTGTAAAGCCTGCAGCTCACAACAAATGTGGAAAGTTCTTGCGTGTCATATTTAACAAGCCGTTTGCTGCTAATTTGATGTAATTTTGCTCACGTGGATAATTGAATATTAATCAGATGATGTCATTACGCTGCTGTGCCGTCAGCCAATCGTTGCATTGCTGATCATGATTTCGAGGATCGATAGATCTGTCCTTCATAACACACGCAGCGATCTCAGATCAGTTCATCCAGACATTCTAATCTGATTCGTGAACTTGTTTGAAGAACCAAATTAGCGAGAGATCAGTTATCAAGATTAAAAGATCCAGGATCTGCCAAATAATCTTAGATCATTTAAGCGAGGTACGAAGAACGGACCTCTGGTCCTAACGCTTACACCATACCTGTTAACCCTCCCATTTTCCCGGGATTCTCCCGTATTTTACAGTTCCATCCCGCTATTATCTCGTAAAGGTATTTTCTCGAATTTCTCCCATATTTTCAAGCTTTCTCTGAAGGGGGCATTAAACATTAAAGGGCACCTATGGTGAAAAAAACTTTTCAAGCTGTTTGGACAGACATGTGTGTAAGTATAGTGTCCATCATATTGGGGCGATATAAACACACCCAGTCCTTTTTTTTTTCAATTTAACAACATAAAACGGTGGACCAATTGGAGCGATTTTGAGATTGACTGCAACTTGACGTAGGAGTGCGGTCCCCCCGCCCACCAATATTGATTGACAGGCGCGCATCACCATATCCTCAGTTTGTTGTTTCACGTCCGACATTTTAAGCGCGAGTCAAATCGATGTCACTAAAGGAACACCCGTGCTCTATTTTTAGATGTAAGGCTCATTGGGCTCAACACAAGATCAACATTCACCACATGATCGCTGTAATTGGAATTATTGTTTGTAACTAGGCAGGTTTGCAAACGTGTGTACCTTTCATTGCGTTGGCATTTCTCGCGGTCACAGAAGCTCCCTGTGATCTTAACTAGGTGCAGCTGGAAAGTGTGAGCGCGTTGCCTCACGTGTGTGTCCCTCCATTGAAAATAAAATAACAAACTTGCCTGCAGGTCGCACACCAGAAGCACCGCTCGGCGACATGCACTGCCATGCATTTCAAAAATTCTTAACATAGGTTTCTATCAGGGTACACACAACGGCACTTCAAGTCGGTGGCTGTCCGCGGCCTCTTCATATTTCTGCCGCACCACAGAGCGCCATCTGAATAGTTTCATATTAAATAACATGCGAATGTGCGTGTCTAGTGTGCCGTGTCGCGGCTCTGAGCAGAGCATCCGGTGCCTCAGTCAAAGTTAATTCAGTGTGCGTGGTTATTAGTCTCGGTGAAGTAGCTCTGAACTTTAGGCCGTACTCACACTAGGTACAGTTGCCTCGAACCAGGCCAAAGCACGCTTGTCCCCCCTCCCGTCTCCCCCGACGGCCCGCGCTCACACCACAAACGGGCTTCGGCAAGCTTACGTCATCGCTGCTGCGCTGTTCAGTGAGAAGCGCTCTCTCACTCAGCAGCACAGTGGAGATTTCTCTAGTTATATCGTTTCAGTCGTTTAATATGCCGTCAAATATTTCGCCAAACAGTCCTTAGGGATGCGGGGACACGCAGTCAGATATTTCGCCGAACAGATCCGCCACTTTTGGCGCTCATAAACAATCATAAAGCTCTCGTGCTGCAGGAATGAGGAGGTGTGCTGAAGGTGCAGCTGTCGTGCAGAGAGGGGTTTGCGTCTTTAATAAACTACGGCAGTTTGTGTTCACTGAACAGTAAGAATGATTAATAAATTCATATCAAACAGTCCCTTAAAAGTCACGTATCGCTTTCAGTTTCGGGCTTTGGCGCATTTTGCACTCACACACAAGCGTACCGCGCCAAAGCCCAAGTGAACCGCGCTCACACCTCTTCCAACCTGGCCAGGGCCGGCCAAGGGAACCGTGCCTGAGCCCGATTCAGCGCACTCACACTTCTCAAACAATCCGGGAAACGGGCCTGGGCACGGTACGGATGGCATAGTGTGAGTAGGCCCTAAAACTAGCACACAGTTGGCTGTAAAACGATACAGACACAAATGATTGTGTACTCCCTGCTTGGTCTGTGTCCGGGTCGTACATGTACGGCTGAATGCTGGTCCTCTCACTCATGTTGCCTTCCTCTGTCTGCCTGGCTGTTGCCAAACACAGAGCTGGGGAGCTTTTGGCTCCGCCCCCTTGTTACGTTGGGAGGGACTTTGAAACTAATTTTCATATGAAGCAACACGCCCCTAAAACAGCGAGCTGTGTACACACCCCCAACATGACACTCTTTAACACATTATAATAAAAAATCTGAACTGTGTTTTGAACTGAACCTAAACTGGCACACTCAGAACAACCATAATATTAATATTAAATCATAAAAAAGGGGTAAACTATGTGCCCTTTAAAGAGCCAATCCTCCCTATAGCAACCAAGTGTGCCGCAAGCCTGCGTTTGAGTGAAGGTCTCGGCCGTTAGATCGCCCCCTGGGGGCTGGCTGCAGTACAAGTCATAAAGCCCGCCTCCTCCGTGTTAATGAAGGAGACTTGAGCCCAAATAAAAAAAAATATTACACTTGCAATAAAATGTCCCGAAAGATAGTTCTGGTGGATTAAGGCACTGGTTATTGTGCTGAAATAGGTGCAGATCTTCATTTTTGTAAACAGTTTGTTTTTAGCAGTAATTTAATGCTGGGCGTGTCATCGTGATTGACAGCTGTGATTGACAGTTTCTCAAAGCGCGGCGTCTGAGCTTCAGCAGGAGACTGAAGTGTTATTATTAGATTTCTGTGTTATTTTACCATGACAAAATGAGTTCAGCAGTAAACTATAGTTTCTGACATACATGATCTGGTGGAACACTGTTTATTCGCTAAGGTCAGGGCTTTTTTCGGGCTTTATTAGTTTGCTGATACACGCCTAGCCACCCAGATAGCAAAACACAGTTCCGGCTAGATTCTCGCCTGCCGGAGACTTATCTCTTAGAGCTCAGACTGACTAATGTTACCTCTGCTGGACCTACTCCGGATGCCTGGACTCACTACCCAATTCCAGCCCAAGTCAATCGAGCCAGATGCGGCGGCCGAGCGAGCCGGTGCTGCCGCATGCGAGCCGGAATCAGCCCACGACGCCGCGAGTAAGTTATGTGTTGCGGCCTGGAGCTGGCGCGATTGAATATATAAAACCCTCATATTTGTTAACGTTATTACATCCATTTGTGTTGATATGACAGCAAACGCATGCTGAGAAGTTCGGGGGGCGTAGTTGATTTTACATAAAGCGTTTGATTGGAAGCTCGACTCTGCTCATTTTCGCGGCTCCTCCTCTGGCTCCATCAGACAATCCTTCTGCGCATGTCTGGCTCCAATTTCAGCAGTCTTTTGCGACAGTTTGTGCCCGTCAAGCAGGCGTTTTGCCCTCAAGGCGTTCAATGGGAAAAAGGGCTGTCGCGTCGTCCATATTTTTTACAGTCATTGATAGCAACCCATACTGCTGAACCACCAGGGGACACCGTTTGCTCTAAAATGTGAAACTGTTCTATCCTTTCGTTTTATTTAGGCATGAAAACATGAAATAAATATAAAAACAGCGACATTCCCTTCTTTTTTATTACAGGTGCCATCGCTCCTCCAATGCAAACCTCAAAATAGTCATGTAGCGGTGCGTGACTGTCAGCTGACGCACTCCATATTGCTGAATAGACGATGTTTCCCAAACGAATTCTGTACACGTGATTTGAAGCAGAGCGAAAGTAAACCCGCTGGGTTTTGGGTGCGTGTTTGACCAGACAAATACACATAATTAAGAATAATAACATCTAAAGATGTCGATCTCGGTGGGACAACTAATCTTGTCCTAAACGAGAATAAAAAGTTAGAAATGCAACCGAATGCTTTAATTATTATGTTAGATGCTAGCATTATTAAAGTCACACCTCTGTTATTTAAAGCAATCAAACGAAAAATCAAAATCTGAGATTCATTCGTTGCTCTTTATTCAGTGTTTAAATTATACAGTGATGAAAAGGTTCATGAGATTTGATAACTCGATTTAGTAATCTGGATTGCTAAGCACTTGATTTAGGCAACTTTAAAGGCAGTTTTTTCAGTATTTAGATTAATAAATTTTTTTTGAACTCTTCAAATATTAAAATAGTTGTATCTCTGCCGAAAAAAATCTCCTATTCTAACAAAGTGTACATCAATTGAAGCTTATTCATGCAGCATGCATGTAGTGCATAAACCTCAATTTCCAAAACTTGACCCTTGTGACTGGTTTTGTGCCTTATTCATTCTTTTATTAAGTAATCTTACATATGTGCGTTCTTATTTAAACTGAGCGAAAGTGCAGTGAAAGTTAAGGTCAACACTGTTCAGTATGATCTGCAAAAAAATGGCTTTGATCATTGAGGACAAAGTGCGTTTACTCTCAATAATGCAACGTGACCTTTGCCCAAATCCTCTTATAAATAGAGCCTATGCATTTAACCCAGATCACACACACTGCACATATACAAGAGCAGGAACGCTTCACTATGACTTCGGGGACTTTATTAGTGTGTCTGCTGCTGTGTGGAGTAGATGTCGGCTGGTCTGGCAGGGTTTTGGTGATGCCAGGCGAGTACAGTCACTGGCACAACATGCGGGCGATCGTTGAAGCTCTGGTCGATCGCAACCACAGTGTGACGGTGTTAGTCAGCTCTTCATCTCCTACAGTACCGCACACACAGAAGGAGCGCTTTGATTACCACGTCTTCAAAGTCAACATGGACAAAGAAGAGGCCAAGGTCATATGGAGTGACTTTACTCATCTCTGGATGAAAGAGACCGACAGCAAATTGGAGAGAGGTTTCCTGATATGGCGAGTGATGTCCAACTTTAGGAGACTTGCTGCTGATGTGTGCCGGAGCCTTCTTCAAAACGATGATCTCCTACAAATGCTTGGGGAATCTCATTACGACGTGCTTTTTTCTGATCCCATGATGCCGTGTTCTGACCTGATGGCGCAGACGCTGAACATCCCGCAAGTCATCTCTCTTCGGTTAACTTTCGCGTATACTTTTGAGAGGATGTGTGGTCAGATGCCCGCTCCTCCGTCTTATGTTCCTGCAGTGGCTCTGACAGATCACCTCACCGACCGCATGAGCTTCATGGAGAGAGTTGAAAACATGCTGCTCTACTTCATACATACTACTGTGTTTCGCCTGAACACAATGCTTACGGTTGATCGGCTGTACACTGAAATACGTGGTGATTATTTGCAGTTTTTTTGGCTTTTTTTTTAGGATAGGATGATATTTGGGAGAAATAAAACTAATGAAGTATTTAAAATCTGTTCAAGTAAAAAATCTAAACACTCAAGATTTTAAGGTCTTAAAAAAGTCTGAAAAACAAAATGTTAAGCCTTAAAAGTCTTAATATCCCAGCAAGCTTTTTTTGTTTTTAAAAAAATGTCTAATAGATGTCTAATAGACGTCTAAACATAGTCATCTTCGCTAAAACAAGGTTAATTTGGGCTGTCAGTGAGAATCTTATAGACGTCTAAGAGCAGGCCAAAACTAGACGTCATTAAATAAACAGAAATGAATGACTACACATAAAGTCTGTCTAATCTTGATGACTTGTCTAGTTTAGGGCTATTCTTAGGCGTCTATTAGATTTTCACTGGCAGTCCATGTTCAGCATTGTTTTAAAAGACGTCTAATAGATGTCTAATAGACGTCAAAACATAGTCATCTTCGCTAAAACAAGGCTAAACTTGGGCTGTCAGTGAAAATCTAATTGATGTTTAAGAATAGACAAAACTAGACTAGTCATCAAGTAAACAGAAATGAATGACTACACATATGAAGTCTGTCTAATCTTGATGACTATCTAGTTTTGGGCTATTCCTAGACATCTATTAGAATTTTACTGAAAGCCCAAGTTTAGCCTTGCTTTAAAAGATGTCTAATGGACGTCTAATAAGCACAAAATTGTTTGCTGGGATATCCCTGAAATATTGTCTTGTAGGTCTTAAATCCTTTTAAATGGGTCTTAATTTTCCTTTGTTTAACTAAAGTTACCCAATTAAGCCAATCACCAACAATACATCTCAATAAAACTTTCAGCAGTGCGATATTCATTACTAATATTAGCACAGTCTGTTGTGCGAACATTTAGTTTTTATAGAAACTAGGGCTTGTTTTGACATTATATAAATAATTTGGGGCTACAAAATTTTTGATTGGGCAAGTAATTTTTGTTTTTCTGCTGGGCGATTAAAAAGTCCTTAGCATTTATCCCTATATAAGTCTGACATTTCATTCTTCATGGTCTTAAAATTTGTAAATTTGACTTAGTGAGACCTGCAGGAACCCTGTTTAAAGTTGCCTAAATCAAGTACTTAATTTATGTAATAATAAATTACATAATTTTTTTTTATTATAATTTTTTTTAGGATAGGATGATATTTGAGAGAAATATAACTAATTAAGTATTTAAAATCTGAGAGTTCAGAAATGAAATCTAAATACTCAAGATTTTTAAGGTTTTAAATAGTCTCAAAAACTAAATGTTAAGCCTTAAAAAAAGTCTCAATATCCCAGCAAGCATTTTTTGTTTTTAAAGATGTCTAATAGACGTCTAAACATAGTCATCTTGGCTAAAACAAGGCTAAATTCAGTCAGTGAAAATCTAATAGACGTCTAAGAGTAGGCCAAAACTAGACTAGTCAGCAAATAAACAGAAATGAATGACTACACATATAAAGTCTGTCTAATCTTGATGACTAGTCTAGTTTTGGGCTGTTCTTAGAGGTCTATTAGATTTTCACTGGCAGACCAAGTTTAGCCTTGTTTTAGCCAAGCTGTCTGCATTTAGATGTCTATTAGACGTCTATTAAACATAAAATTTTATGCTGGGATATCCTGAAATACTGTGATGTAGGTCTTAAATCCTTTTAAATGGGTCTTAAATTTCCTTTGTTTAACTAAAGTTACCAAATCGATCACATCCAATCACCAACAATACATCTGAATAAAACCTTTAGCAAAACACTATGCATAACTAATATGACAGTTCTGCTGGGCCATTAAAAAATCCTTTGCATCTCCCTATATAAATCTGAAATGTTTTTCTTTATGGTCTTAAAAAGGTCTTAAAAGACTTAAATTGGATTCGATGAAACCTGCTGTAAACCAGTTGCTTAAATCAAGTGCTAAATTGAGCGTAGTGTATGAGTGTGTATGGGTGTTTCCCAGTACTGGGTTGCGGCTGGAAGGGCATCGGCTGTTTAAAACATATGCTGGAATAGTTGGCGGTTCATTCCACTGTGTTGACCCCTGATAATTAAGGGATTGAGCCGAAAGAAAATGAATGACTGAATGAAAAGCCACTGCAGTTTAGTGCATTTGATTGGTTAGCCTGTGATGAAGTTCAAACTGTTCACGTCTTAATAACAGCTTAACTTCCTTATAAGTGCACTTAATTGTGTGCTTCTGAATTGGGTTGTTTAAATGTTTCTGTCACGTCTGGTGTGGATAGACAAATTGCACATCACTGCAAGTCTAGTCATCGTTATTGTATTTATTAGCTGTGGTCTGAACTCTGTTGTTTTACATTTAGAGTGATGTCTTTATCGTCATCATTATAGATATCAGCATTACAGGATATCTCTGTGTGTCACAGGTAAACCCACAACTATGTGTGAGACCATGGGAAAAGCAGATATCTGGCTGATAAGAACGTACTGGGATTTCGAGTATCCGCGTCCATTCCCACCTAACTTTAAGTTTGTTGGAGGACTGCACTGCAAACCCGCCAAACCCCTGTCTAAGGTAATGATCTTAAGTACTATTTAAACAGTAGTAGATATGCTGTATAATTAAATAATGTTGGACCTGTTGAACAAAATGGCACCTTGAGTCAAGTTAAATCAAGATAATGAACATCTGAACTATTTAATTTGTAAATGTATCGTTCAATCAATGTCATCTTATCAGAGTAATTAAGTCACAGTTCATTTAAAAAGATAACTGGGAGATATTTTAACTTTGCAATTATATATATATATATATATACAATTTAATGATCTATGCTAACAATAATCCTAAACATCTTGGTAGAATTATATGGCATGAATGAGAACAATTAATCAAGGAATACATTCCCCCATCTGAAACACTATAGTAATGTATAGTAAAATACTAGTGTTTTTGAACCATAATAAAGTTGAGTGTACACTCTCGGGCCATTTTATTAGGTACACCTGTCCAACTGCTCGTTAACGCAAATTTCTAATCAGCCAATCACTTGGCAGCAACTCAATGCATTTAGGCATGTAGACATGATCAAGACGACCTGCTGCAGTTCAAACTGAGCATCAGAATGGGGAAGAAAGGGGATTTAAGGGTCTCTGAACGTGGCATAGTTGTTGGTGCCAGACGGGCTGGTCTGAGTATTTCAGAAACTGCTGATCTACTGGGATTTCCACGCACAACCATCTCTAGGGTTTACAGAGAATGCTCTGAAAAGGAGAAAATATCCAGTGAGCGGCAGTTCTGTGGGCGTAAACGAATCATCTCAGACTGGTTTCTTGAACATGACAATGAGTTCACTGTACTCAAATGGCCTCCACAGTCACCAGAACCTAATCCAATGGAGCACCTTTGGGATGTGGTGGAACGGGAGATTCACATCATGTGCAGCCAACAAATCTGCAGTGAAACTGTGTGATGCTATCATGTCAATATGGAGCAAAATCTCTGAGGAATATTTCCAGCACCTTGTTAAATCTCCGCCACAAAGGATTGAGGCAGTTCTGAAGGCAAAGGGGGTCAAACTCAATACTAGTAAGGTGTACCTAATAAAGTGGCCAGCGAGTGTATTATATCCATTTTCTTTTTCGGCTTAGTCCCTTTATTAATCAGGGGTCGGCACAGCGGAATGAATCGCCAACTTATCCAGCACATGTTTTACGCAGCGGATGCCCTTCCAGCTGCAACCCATTACTGGGAAACACTCATACACTCTCATTCACACTCATACACTACGGACAATTTAAGCTTTTCACCTGTACCACATGACTTTGGACTTGTGGGGGAAACCAGAGCACCCGGAGGAAACCCATGCGAACATGGGGAGAGCATGCAAACTCCACACAGAAACGCCAACTGACCCAGCCGAGGCTTGAAACAGCGACCTTCTTTCTGTAAGGCGACAGCACTATCTACTGTCGCCGAGTGTATTATATTGTAATAGTATTTACCACACTCCGTTAATGAATGCTACATGTAGTATTATTACAGTGAACTGATCCACTGTAATCAATACTGTAGTAAACTTTAGATTTTACTACAGTAAACTGTGGTGTATTGTAGTATAATTTACCCTAAAACTACAGTACTGGATGAATTGTTTACATTACTGTAGGTGTTGTGTTACCATAATAATTGTAGAATCAGCAGTACTTTACTGTAGTGTGGTTTAAAAACACTATAATTCATTCATTCATTCATTTACTTGTCGGCTTAGTCCCTTTATTAATCCGGGGTCGCCACAGCGGAATGAACCGCCAACTTATCCAGCAAGTTTTTACGCAGCGGATGCCCTTTCAGCCGCAACCCATCTCTGGGAAACATCCACACACACATTCACACACACACACTCATACACTACGGGCAAGTTAGCCTAACCAATTCACCTGTACCGCATGTCTTTGGACTGTGGGGGAAACCGGAGCACCCGGAGGAAACCCACGCCAACGCAGGGAGAACATGCAAACTCCACACAGAAATGCCAACTGAGCCGAGACTCGACCCAGCGACCTTCTTGCTGTGAGGTGACAGCACTACCTACTGCTTCGCCCAAACACCATAATAATCACTATAAATTCTTACTGCAGTGTTTTTTCATGTGATTTGTGCCTCCACTAGGAGAATTATTGTCAGCGTAAATGCAATATATGTCACATGATGTAGACATTATACTGATTTGAGCCTTGCTTTCAGTGTTTGTGAGTCAGTAAGTGTGCATTCGTGTGTGTTTTAGGAAATGGAGGAGTTTGTTCAGAGCTCTGGAGATCACGGCGTCGTTGTTTTCTCATTGGGCTCCATGATTAAAAACCTGACATCGGAACGAGCCAACACTATTGCTGCTGCTCTGGGCCAGATCCCGCAAAAGGTGTGTAAATCACTCAGTGTGCTCAGTGCTCAAGAACAATCGCTAATAAGTTGCTCATCCATGTATTTGCACAGGTTGTTTGGCGTTACAGTGGGAAAACTCCAGAAACACTGGCTCCCAATACTAAAATCTACGACTGGATCCCACAGAATGATTTGCTTGGTAAGGAAAGTGCTGTTATGTGTGCTTATTAATATTAATTGATGTCTGATGCATACTGAATTTATGTAATCTGACAGGTCATCCAAAGACAAAGGCTTTCATCACTCATGGTGGCACAAATGGACTGTATGAGGCTATTTATCACGGTGTCCCGATGGTGGGTTTGCCACTGTTTGCTGATCAGCCTGATAACCTACTGCACATGAAAACCAAAGGAGCTGCTGTAGTCCTTGATATCAACACACTGGAATCCAAAGACCTGGTGGATGCTCTGAAGACCGTCTTAAATAACCCATCGTGAGTTCTGCCACTTTAATCCTGCCGCCAGAGAAAACAAGCATCCGCTTTAACATTCATCATTCTTCCCCAATCAGGTACAAGGAGAGCATCATGAGGCTGTCCAGAATCCACCACGATCAGCCGATGAAGCCGCTGGATCAGGCCGTGTACTGGATTGAGTTTGTGATGCGGAATAAAGGAGCCAAACATCTGCGAGTTCAGGCGCATGAGCTGAGCTGGTATCAGTACCACTGTCTGGATGTAGCGGCCTTCTTACTCTCCATCACCGCTCTGATCACATTCCTCTGGGTTAAAACATGCTGCTTCCTTTTCCGCAGATGTGTCAGGAAAACCCATCCTGAGAGGAAAACACAGAAGAGTAAAAAGGAGTGAATGCAAACTGCAGTCCAATAGTGACCAGATAATTCCCCACAGAGATGCAGTATGTGTGTCAGTGGTTGTGCAAATTGTGTGTGTGTGTGTGTATTGTGAATTGAGAGTGCTTTTAATCAAATAAATGCATGTGCATTTATATGTAAATAATAATTTTGTGAACATTAGTTTATTTTTTTTAATTCTGTTTATTCGTCTGAGCTTTACACAGAGACTCCTGCTAGTAGATTAGTGCATATTTTTGGGGAACTTTCAGACGATCAAAATCTATATAGAGCGGGGAAATAAATATTGAACACATGTTGTCATGTATTTTTCAGGGAATAATATTTCTAAAGGAGCTGCTGACATGGAATTGAGGGAGATTTTGGTAAAAACCCAAACGATAAAGACATAACAATAAAACAAAACAAATCTGAGAAATGAGTTGTGTGTAATAACACTGACAGAAGGAGAAAGCGCTGAACTACTGAAATGTGTTTAATACTTTATATGAAAGGCTTTTTTAATGATGTCAGCTTAAAGACGCCTCTCGTATGGAGAATGAAGTCACATGTGTTGCTCAGGTGTCTGACTTCAACAGTGTGGTAAAATCTTGATGGTTCTGTGGGTCTCGTCTATCAAATCTGAGCTTTATTTTGTAGGTTCAATTGGATTCGGCTTAGGTGATTGGCTGGGCCATTCTACAGCTTGATTTTCTTTCTCTGAAAGCATCTGAGAGTCTCCTTGGCTGTGCTGAAATGTCAACCCTGGGTTCATCTTCATCCTCCTGCTAATTTAGATGTTGGACTGAAGCAGCTGCTATTCATTTACACTGAGGAAGAGCAGAGGCTTGCTGAAGAACTACTAAGAGATTTCAGCTGCTGTCTGGGCTTTCCCTGCCGGACTACACCTCAGTTTCTTCATGTGTTCAATACTTTACGCATAACTTCATTTGTAAACTAATTAGATTTTTTTTTTCCGAATATGAATTTTGTTTGGCTGTTACCAACATCTGGTGAAAATTTCAAGTCAACGGGACCTTTGGAAATATGTTTTCTGCAAAAAAAGGTGATATAAAGTTATATATAGTTATATATATATATATATATATAGTCATATATATAGTCATATATATATAGTCATATATATATATATATATATATATATATATATATATATATATATATATATATATATATATATAGTTGTATTCAGAATTATTAGCCCCCCTGAATTAATTTTCAACACATTTATAATCATAATAGTTTTAATAACTCATCTCTAATAACTGATTTATTTTATCTTTGCCATGATGACAGTAAATAATAATAGACTAGGTATTCTTCAAGACACTTCTATACAGCTTAAAGTGACATTTAAAGGCTTCACTAGGTTAATTAGGTTAACTAGTCAGGTTAGGGTTATTAGGCAAGTCATTGTATAATGATAATTTGTTCTGGGGACTATCGATAAAAATATTGCTTAAAGGGGTTAATAATATTGACCTTAAAATGGCTTTTTAAAAAATTCAAAGCTGCTTTTATTCTAGCCGAAAAAAAACAAAAAAGACTTTCTCCAGAAGAAATAATATTATCAGACGTACTGTGAAAATTTCCTGAATCTATTAAACATCATTTGGGAAAAATTTAAAAAAAGAAAAAAATGCAAAGGGGGGCTAATAATTTTGACTTAAACTGTATATACACTGCAAAACCTAAAAAGGTAAGGTAACTCAAACCATTTGGGGAAACCGATTGCAACAAACCATTTAAGTTCAAAAACTAATCCTAATGAGTACTGTGAACTTAATCCATTTGAGTAAAGAAGCTATTTGAGCACAGCAAAACCCAATAAATTAAGAGAATCAAACCAACTGAGTACTGTAAAACCCAATAAGTTAAGGCAACTCAAACCGTTTGAGGAAACCGATGCTAAAAACTATTTGAGTTAAACAACTAATCTATATGAGTACTGTGAACTTACTCCATTTAAATTGAAGTAATGAGGTATTTATTAACTCATTACCTTCAACACTGAGTTCAAAACTCTTTTCAGATGAGTTGAATTAACTTTCTGTCAATTTTGAGTTAACTACACTCATTTCACTTGATAAAGTTGATTGTTGGGTTGTACAGTGTGTGTATGTTGCGATAGGATAACAATTTCACCATGATGGCTTAATATCTGTATTCGGAAAGTAAATAATGTTAGATTGGGTTGATCGTGCAGTAGGAGTGTTTCTCCATAAAAATCTAATAAACAGTTTATGAATACATTAAAGATGCAATTGAAATAAACAGTGTTTCATCGTTTTCCAAGTCCTAACAGTAGGTAGAGTAATTGAATAATAAAAATAATTCATTAAAATTACTTGGTAAAGTGGTGCAGTAGGTAGTGCTGTCGCCTCACAGCAACTGGTTCGTGCCCTGGCTGGGTCGATTTGTCATTTCTGTGTGGAGTTTTACATGTTCTCCTCGTGTTGGCGTAGTTCTTGCGTGTGGCTACCGTACGCTTTTTGAGTCTCGCTTCTCTCCATTATGAAGTCTACTTGCGCAACGCGTTTTAGCAGATCGCTTGTCCAATCTCGCCCACCGTACCAGACGGCGTGCGGTGAATCTGGGAGAACATAAACAGAAATGTATAAATGACCAGAATTAAACGAGTATTCTCCGTTTTCCTGCTCCTGGTAAGTTGGAAAAGCAATTAATTGTGTGCTATTTGTTATACGTACGCTAAATTATACGAGTGCAGAGTGTGCTAATATTCTTAAACGTTATGTATACACTCACCGGCCACTTTATTAGGTACACCTCACTAGTGCCAGGTTGGACCCCCTTTTGCCTTCAGAACTGCCTTAATCCTTCGTGGCAGAGATTTAAGAAGGTACTGGAAATATTCCTAAGAGAGTTTGCTCCATATTGACATGATAGCATCACGCAGTTGCTGCAGATTTGTCGGCTGCACATCCATGATGTGAATCTCCCGTTCCACCACATCCCAAAGGTGCTCAATTGGATTGGGTTCTGGTGACTGTGGAGGCCATTTGAGTACAGTGAACTCATTGTCATGTTCAATAAACCAGTCTGAGATGATTCACGCTTTATGACATGGTGTGTTATCCTGCTGGAAGTAGCCATCAGAAGATGGAGACACTGTGCTCATAAAGGGATGGACATGGTCAGCAGCAATACTCAGGTAGGCTGTGGCGTTGACACCATGCTCAATTGGTAACGTTACTAATGAGCCCAAATTGTGTTAAGAAACTCTCTCCCACACCATTATACTTCACCATTATCCGAACTGTTGATACCAGGCAGGATGGATCCATGCTTTCATGTTGTCGACACCAAATTCTGACCCGAGCATCCGAATGTGTCAGCAGAAATGGAGACTCATCAGAGCAGGCAATATTTTTCTCCAATCTTCTATTGTCCAGTTTTGGTGAGCCTGTGTGAATTGTAGCCTCAGTTTCCTGTTCTTAGCTGACAGGAGCGGCACCCGGTGTGGTCTGCTGCTGTAGCCCATCTGCCTTAAGGTTGGACGTGTTGTGTGTTCAGAGATGCTCTTCTGCAGACCTCGGCTGTAGCGAGTGCTTATTTGAGTTACTGTTGCCTGGAATCAGCTGGAACCAGTTTGGCCATTCTCCTCTGACCATCAACAAGGCATTAGCACCAACAGAACTACCGCTCACTGGATATTTCCTCAATGTCCGACCATTATCTGTTATTCTACAGAGTGCGTAAACACTGGCTAGCACCAACAATCATGCCACATTCAAAGTCACTTAAATCGCCTTTCTTCTCCATTCTGATGCTCGCTTTGAACTGCTGCAGATCGTCTTGACCATGCCTAAATGCATTGAGTTGCTGCCATGTGATTGGCCGATTAGAAATTTGCATTCAGCAGTTGGACAGGTGTACCTAATAAAGTGGCCGGTGATTGTATGTCCTACATCATGTGTTTGTGTGTGTTTTCAGATGCGTTTTTCTGAGCACAGATATGAGGCTGCTGTGTGTGTCGGATCGCTCTAATGGCCAGATTAAACAGGACGTTTGTGTTGACCCTCCTCATCGCAGTCAGCTCTGTGTTTCTGCTCTTCCAGCTCTACAACTACAGACTGTCTGCTGCAAAGGTGAAGAGAAAACCTTCAACATTTTACTCCTCTTGGATGAATAAAATTCATTATTATTATAATAGGCTATTTCGACCTTCAGGATAGAATATTTGTTCTGTAATGCTCTAATATTGCTTCCACTGTGGGAGCACATACATTGCAGTAAATACCAGGCTATAATGGTTTTTATCATGTGCAAATTACGGGAGGGTTGGGGGGGGCTACTATGGTAAAGTTGGTTTTATATTCGCACATTCATTCAGTGACAACTTATGACATGCTTCCTATATTGTTTACCATGGTACTTTAAATATTCGGTCTGGAATCACATGCAAGTGTGACTTCAAAACAGCATCAGCACTATTCAACTGACTGTAAACAATGTTGTTTGATAGTCACCGGCTGCTAATATGATTCCATTTAGTCAGAGTTTGCACAGAATACTCTTCAGGAATTATATTATTAACCACTCAAACTCTGTCATCGACTTTCGCTTTTAGATTTAAAGGGCTAGCATTGCACCAGACCCCCTTAAGTGGTTTTGTTTGAAAGTGTAGAAGCTATATTTTATGCACATATGCATCGCTTTGGTTTTTATTTTACTGTACTAAAGTTATTAACACTTAAATACACAGTATTTTGGAGACCCGAGCTGGGAATTGAACATTGTACATTTTCATATTTTTCATATGATTCATATATGACACATGTACAATTTATAGTGAAAGCTCTTGCCGGTGCTCATACGGTTCTAGCTTTCTTTTTACTGAATTATATCCACATATCAAACAGTTGCAGAATGAATTTCTGTGTTTCCATGGCGCAGAAGTGAAAACAATACATTCATGATCAATAAGCAGCCCCAGATAGCACAGACAGCTGTCATCTCTTACCCTATGCTGTGCGCTTCAGGGCCATTCTCCTCTGTTTTTGAGGTGATGTGCCTAAGTAATCCTTTTATATGTCTGACCAAAATATACAACTGACAAGTAGTTGTATATTTTAGCATATTGCACTTGCATTGTTTGTATAAGTTCCATTAGTCTGTATTTCTCATTATTGCAGTGTATTGATTAGTGCTGCTCTTAAATAATGTTCTTTCTCCGACTGCAGAATGGCTTTAACGTCTTGAATAATAAAGGATATCTGTCTGGGAAAGAGGCACATTGGGTAAGTCTAAAGTGAAATTTAAAGGGGACCTATTATGCAGAAATCACTTTTAAAAGGGGTTTGGACACAATTGTGTGGCAACAGTTTCTAAATATAGCCATCCTCTAATGGTAAAAATTAATTATTTCTATGTATTATTATCAGACTTGATATAAACCGCCTGCAGAAACACTTTGGTTGACATTCTCCCTTTGTACGTGTCATCAGAG